GCAAGCGCTGCAGTCGCAAGAAGCACTCTTTTCAGCTCAAGGTCGTACGCTCAACTGTGAGGCACCACTTGGTGGGCACTCATGGAGCCGCAAGCATGGATGCTCTGTGAAACGCTTCTGAGACAAACTCATTCAGGTCACTCGAGATGCCAGCCCGACACTGAAAGGCAGCTTCAGATGTGTCCCTTCTGAAAGATCGAGACCTGTGTGTCTGCCTGTACGGCGGGTGAAATTTCAGCCGCTCATGTCGGCCCAGCAGTCGGAACACTGATGCGTGTGAGATGGACAGTTCGGTTGCGCCTTGCTTGCCGTCGGAAACCATGATCACGGAGTCGGAGTTGACGGAAAGTCATCTGCTCGACGGATGTGGAGGTCCACGATGGTCGCACTAAGACAGGCCAAGCTCAAACTACAATCAGGCTCATGCAGTTAACTTTCGGATTTAAGCATCCACAAGCGATCAGTGTTCCGGCCCATTCCCTTACTCAGCAGCTGCAGCTGGCATGTCCAGACTTCCAAGCTTCCAAGAATTGTGCGGAGGCTTGGAAGCTGTGACACGAACCGCAGTTGGAGTCCAGCTGATGTGAGGCAGGAACCAAATTCAAAACCCATTGAGCAAGTGCTGCAATCCAAGGCAATGATCTTCGTACTTTGATGCCTTTAATCTCCTTCAAAAGCCAGCACCTTCTTTGAACCCGCAAAGGCCTCCTGGCAGCTGGGGCAACTTCATGGAATTAAAGATCTGCATGAGGCGCAGAGTGAGCAGCTACAATTTTGTAACTTATTCAGCTGACAAATCAAGCTTTAGGAACTTGCAACGAGAAATCAGTCACCCGTTGCATTTGCGCGTAAGGTGGAATTCCATGCCTGATCATTTGCCTGTCTTCTTCCTGCTGGTCTCTCTTTTGGGGTCCATGTCTCCAGGCCCACGGCCCGATGCAGTCCATCGGGCTGCAGTACTGCACTGACCCAGCATTCAGCAGCCTTCAGCACAGGCAAGCTGGGGCAGCGTTGAGCAGTTGATTCCAGGATATGCTTTTCCTGCTCTCTTCTTTCGCGCGGTCAGGAGGGCGCGCTCTCGCTCTGTCTCTCTCGCTCTCTCCCTCCCTTCCTTGCTTCCTTCCTTCCGCGGGGCCTCCCTCGCTCCTTCTTTCTTTTGCGAGGGTAGAGAAAGAGGGAGCGACCCTCTTCAGGGGCACTCTTGTGCCCCCCCCCCCTCCCTCCCTCCCTCCCTCCCTCCTCTCCCCCCCCTCCCTCCCTCCCTCCTCGCTCTCTCGCTCTCTCCGCTCTCTCTCTCTCTCTCTCTCTCTCTCTCTCTCTCTCTCTCTCTCTCTCTCTCTCTCTCTCTCTCTCTCTCTCTCTACATCTCTTTCTGTCCATAGGGGGTTGATGCTTGCCCGGTGTCTACTCGGTGGCGCGGCATCTGTCTGGCTCCTGTCTCTGTGTCTGCCTGATCTCCCCGTCTAATTCCGCTACCCTTCAATCAACACGATGTCCCCAAACAGCAATACTCAGCTGAGGGCTAATCCGTTGCTCGCAATCTGAGCCCTGTGCGACTTCAGCTCGTTTGCAATGAGCTCGGCATCGCCCCAGACATCGTTGACCCGGTCTATCCGCATCTGACACACGAGTTGAGATGGACGGTCATGTCGACTGTAGCAACTGCCGGCCAGATAAAGGAATGAGCAGCAAAAGCACGAAGATGAAATTCACTGTGACAGCTGCTGGACGAATCGCATGTCTAACAACAGGTGCAAGCCACCGGGCATCGGCCGACCCAACAAAAAGCTTTATGCCAGCCAAACAGTGGAAGAGCGCAGCCGCACACCGCACGGATCCTGTGCAAAATAATAGGACGCGGGGACAGAATTTGCACCGCACCGGAACGGGACCCTAGCGTCGAGGACGTTTTGCGCGGCGCGGATCTGCTTATCAACTCTCTTTAGCCTGCATGTAGAACACCATCGGGGACACTGCTTGGGAATTTGCCAAAATATTCTGACTTTGCTCGGTGTTGTTGGGCTTACCCCGACAAGCAAATGCCTGATGTCGAGCAAATGAGCTCGGCACTTGATGCATGACTGGGGCAAACGAAGACCAGGCCCGACGTCTCAAAATCGACATCTGGCAACCCAAAGACTTAATGTCGCGATCAGGCGTCCAGTGATTGCTCCTGTAACATGGTCGAAGCGACGGGCGAAGCTTTTGCGATGCATCACGCCCCCTTGCGATGCCGTAGCCCTGTCATTCCAGTGTGACAAATCAAACAAAACCCGCCAAGTTGGATCGAGTGCGGACAGTAACGGCGCTGTGTAGCAGCTGCGAGGCACCAACCAACAATCACATGTTTCACCGTTCCGACATGAGATTCATACGCAGAAGGCCAACCTCCGGCAGAACGACGAACGCATATCTTCCCAACTCAACCTGCCCGAGGCACCAAATGATCCATGTCATCAGCTGCCATGTCTTAAAACGGAAGAATACAGTCCGGGCAAGAGGAATGCGAAACATCCAACTTTCTGCAATCCTACGGTATCCCACGGTACTGCACAGAGTCAATGCCGGGCCCAAGTCCAGAAGTGACATTGAAGGGAAATACCATAGGAAGATCCCTACTGAGGGTACGTAGCCGAAGGGGCCATGCATGTGGTATCAAACCATCGCCTGATGCTTGTTGTATGCCATGAGTGCGCCCTCATCGAGCACCTCGCGGCTTTAGTGTTATGGTTTCACCGTAACCATCATCCCAGCGGTCCTTAAGTGCTTTCGGGTTGAGCTTGTGGGGTCTTCGGGGAGGCCTTGCTCCCATGTCAGAGTGTCGTGGGACTTTGTAAGGCTGTAGCACTCCAGACTCTAGCTTGCAGCCTCAACTTCGACTGGAAAGGCATGCCGCGGTGTGCACGAAAACTTACGCAACCGATCTGGATGAGAGTCCGTCGGGACTGAACGGCCATGAAAAGAAACGGTTTGGAGGCCCAGTCGATTACTGGGTGCAGAATTCTTTGGGACATCTGTGGGTGTTTCTTTTTTTTTTGGGCCCGGTGGGGGGGTAGTGCCGGGGCAGGGACGTGCCCAGCCAGTTCTCTGGAACCGCAGTACTCGGGGGACAACATGTCCGTGCTGTTGGAACCGTCAGAATACTCGGGGACCCGTTTGTGGTCGTGCTTCGGGATCCATTGGTACGTGTAGAAACACGTTGGCTCATCAGTACTAGCCGGTTGCGTCAAGAGTGCAGAGACTAGTAGTTGTTGCGGGCACGGTCCGGGATCCGCGATCGACTTTTGGCAAGGTATGGCAATAGTACGTAAAGGGAAAGCACTTTAGCCACGCTTCGGAATCTTGCTAAATTTCATCGGTAGCTGGGGGTTCCGACAAACATACGATTGGTGATGAGGCTTGGGCGGTTTGCACGACGGAAAGACCGTGTTCATATTACGTATTGATATGTATATGCGTTGTTTATTGTGCACAGCTACATACATGAATATAAGTATAAACATAAACATAAGTATATATATATATATATACACATACGTTACTATTATTGCGATAGTAACAAAAATACTCGAAGTAATAAAAATGAAAGTCCTAGGAGATCCTAGGAGAAATACTAGGGGGTTAATTTCGATATTAATAATACTAATAAAACAGTCATGTTTGTCAATAGTACGAAAACTACACAAAGTAGCAGTAGTAGTAGTAGTAGTAGTAGTAGTAGTAGTAGTAGTAGTAGTAGTAGTCACCCATATGGCGTGCCGTAGTAGTGGTGGTAGTCGTAGTAGTAGTAGTAGCAGTAGGTAGGCACTTCCCCTACCAACTACAGTTGCTCTTAACCATGTTAACACAATATCCATTTTACTCTGCATTTACGGCACTTTCGTCATGTGCGATCATCATAAGAGGCCTCAAAATCGACTTGTCGAGTTTGCAAACTCGGGCTCTTGATTTTGGAGTTGCTTCTGGGAAGGTGGGTGGTGGGGGTGGGGGGGTGGGGGGGTGGGAGGGGATGATGACGACAGTGTTCCCTGAACACACCCAACAGTATCACCACAAGAGCCGTTTAACTCGGGATTCACGGTACTTTCGTGATGTCAGACTTTGAAACATATTCTGAGCCCCTACTTGTCGACTATCCGCACGTATTACACTTTGCTGTTTCGAACTGTTTGCAAAAAAACTCGAAATTGGTCGGGGAAAGCTTCTTCGGGGATGATCACGACACTGTTTTGCGGCGACCCCGAACAAGATTTCCACACTCAAGCGCGCACACACCACACACACCACTTCAAAAACAGACCCTCCTACGCCGAGGTTGGGCGGTAGGGGTGTTGGCGAGCCCCTCCCACGTACAGCTGGCATCTTTGATGTTGCGTTTCAGGTTTTCGAAATGTTAAACCCTTCTTGGCAGCACCTGCGTTTTGCACGGTATTTACAGCGTTTTCGTACTATCCGACCACCTGCGGCTTAGCAGTTTCTTCCTCGTCGAGCTTGCAACTCCAGCTGCTGTCGCAGATTTGCGGCCTGAGCCCCTGCAACTTCACCGGCTGTGACAGTTAAGGAAACTGAGCCTCTGCAACTTCTGCAGCTGTCACAAATAAGGAGCCTGAGCCCGTGCATCTTCTGCAACTGTCGCAGTTAAGGCGCCTAGCTGCCACTGACAAAATCAGTGACACTGGTAAAAGGGATCACTCGGCGGTCGCGCTTTCCTTTTCCGGCAGCTCTGCGAGCTTCTCGAAGTGTCGTGCTTCCGGCACGCCAGGAGACGCCTATGGCGATCACGGCCAGACTAAGTCCAGCTACACTTCACGTAGCAAAAAGCTTAGCCAAAGGAGCTCCTGACATGTCAGAACGTCGAAGTCAAGTCATGACAGTCCTGCAAGACAGCAGTGTAGGAGTGTTTTAACCGTAAAAGGCTTTGCCTTCCACACACCCCAAAGGCTATACACGTAGACACTGCTTCGCGCGTACAAGACTTGTAGCTCATCATAAAAGAGAGGCTAGGCCTTGGAGGCTTCAAGAGATCTTCGCTTCTTGGCACTCATGAAAGCGCCAGGGTGCCGAAGTTTGGACGCCTTCGTCAAGCCATCCGCGAGCTGGTGGTCGCTGTCACACCATGCCAAAGCCGTCTTCTGTTGTCGGAGGTTTTCGTTGATCCCCATCAGCTCGAGAGATGTGTACTTGTCCTTGACGTTGAAGGAAGCCATTCCAGGATCGGCTTTCTCTAAGGCATCATAAACTCCCCTGGCATCGATAATGATGTGCCCGGGAACCTTGGAAGTGCTGTCGGCGGGATTCCGCACGTCGATGGTGCCGCCGTTGAGTTCATGCCATTCCAGTCGTGCAAACATCAACTCCTGTTCGCAATGTCCCAGAGCTTGAGCTTCTGCCGACAAAGAGATTCTCGCAACTCGAGGTAGCCGAAAGCTTCTCCAGGAGACAACGTTGATTTTGCCCTGACCCTGGAGCACGGCAGAAGGGTGCATGAGGCCAATCACAAAGCCTCCCGTGCTTCCTCCATCATGACGGTTCGCGAGCGACGCATCAGACCATGCCACAAAGGTAGCTTGTTCAGGAGGAAAGCTACCAAGAGCTTGCTTGAACTTGCACCCCAACATGCTTAGCCGCATGCACTTCCCGCACCAGCTTGTTCACATGTTCAATGCAGGCAACATCCTTGGAGGCAAGCATGGACTGAAGTTGTCCCAGCTTCGCTGCATGATGTGGACCACTCTGGGTGACCCGCCCTCCACTGAACAGAACCCAGAATGGCCTTAGCTTGACGCACCTGGTTCTCATTCATCTGAGTTTGCTGAGAGTCTGCAGGAGGCATCTGGTTGAGGTCGGAGCTGAAGGTCGAGTGGTCCAAGGTGAAGGACTTGTCCTCGTGCTGGATCACCCGTAGTCCGCAATGGAGGAAGTCGCTGTCCTGCCATGGTGACCATTTATATGCAGACTTGAAGGCCTGCACAAATTTCAGCCAGGTGCCATCCTCCTGGTTGCCCGTGACCAGAAAATCGTCGACGTGGGAGGAGAGGTAGCCCACAACCTCGTGCTCAGCATTCAGAATGACCCAAGCACAAGGATCAGTTTTGCATTGTCGTCCTCCAAGTCGTTGGATGGTTCCAGCCACATCCTGAAACCACTCACGCGGAGCGGTCGTAAGGCCATAGGCCGAGCCAGTGAGCTCGTCGCACTCTTCCGGCGTGAGGTTCATCGCTTGGGCCAGCTCAGGGAGAGGTTTGGCCAGAAGTCGTCGTCCTCGATCAGGAGGCCGTGCCTGCAGGAATGCTGTCCTGACATCAGCTGAGAACACCGTCCACTTTCTGATCATCGCCTGATTCAAAATCAGCTGCCGTGTCAACCTCGTCATCGTTGGGCTGGCAGTCTGATCCTCCAGTAGTCCGGGATCGGAGAATCCGAGGATCACAATCCTCGCCTTGGCCTTCACTTGAGGCT